AAAAAAAAAAAAATTATAAATAAAATTAAATTTTCTTAGCCTTTTATAAGCGGTATTCCACTCATAAATGAATAGTACCGCTCCTAACACTCGGCGCTGGTCCGAGAAGTTTTGGCGCGTCCGATAAAGAGAGGAAAGTAGGCGTTAACCACGAAAATCGGCTGAAATGCTCGACTAATTTCGAGCTAGTTCTAGAATAAATTGTTCTAGAATAAATTGAAATATAAATAAAGATTAAGCTTTATTTAACTTACCGTTTACGAAATCTTTCCGATATCTGATTTGTGACAAGCAAACGTTCACTTCTTTTTATTAATATATTATTTGCCATAATATTAAATTGTTTGCATGCCATACTAATCTGTGATAAAGTATAAGCATTACAAAAATTGAAAATTATATTTAATATTTTGTTTGGCAAAATATACGAAACAGACATATTTGTCTTCTTAATTAAACGTTACCACGTGAAAATATAGATATTATAATTGGTATGTTCACTTCACTAAACGTTATTCTTTTTTATTTTTAAAGTGGAATGTCTTCAACTAAAGGATACACGTGTTAACGATATGGTGGTCACGATGCAACTCTTCTCTTGCCGGCAAGCTGGAAGTTGAGGGTGCAGTCCCATGAACTGCGAAACTGCGGAAATGCGGTTCGCCAGAATAACGTCACGAAACATCGTCCAATCATGACCATTCTGTAGTTGTCGTTCCGCGAGTTAAAGCCTATCCAGACAAACTTGCATAGTTGCATAAACATATGCATAAGAAAATTGATTGGTCCATAAGCAAATGCATAAAGAAATGAACCAATCAATTTTTTTATGCATATGTTTATGCAATTATGCAAGTTTGTCTGGATAGGCCACAGATGTCTATACTAGTACTAGATCGCTAACTTTAGGCTTTGACGTATGGAAAAACTAATAGCGTTTTCGAATAAACGGGGTTTGAACGATCTAGGGTTGATCAATCACTATTTTACTATAAATGCAAGTCTTTCATTGGTGGAGAGGTTGCAATGACGTCATTAA